AGAATAAAGGCCATAATTCTCTAGGCACTAAGTGGTGGAAACTGGCCTCTGTAAAGAGTCACTGCTTCAACCAGTTGTGGGGTCAAGTTGCACTCACAATTTATCTTGTAGGACATGTTGAATTCAGAGTTCATTCTTCATCTTCCAAATGTTTACTGTTACATGTGATCAGCTTAATAGACTCTGTGTTTGTGAACCTTACCCAAAAATTCTATCTCATCGTCAATATCCAAACAAGTACAGAGAAAGATAGGAAGAACACCACATAACATCAATTTAATCTGTAGAGGAAATACAGTAAAAAAAAATAATATTCCCCTACTGAGTTATGAGTCAGGGAAGTACATTCTATAAAGTCTGTTTGAGACTAATACATTCTTAGTAAGATCCTCTGCACAAATATAGCTATACACAAACAAAGAAGACAATACTGGTTTGACAAAATGGCTCATCTTTCTCACTAAGGTAGACAACAAGAAAGCAATATTTGCTTCACCTTGCCCACTTGCAGTGCCAGTCGTACAAAAATATGCATTTGTAACCAGTTAACTAATGAGAACTGACAAAAATGGGATATAGAGCATTGGGGTTGAAAATTTGCAACACAAAAGAACTGAAAAGGTATGCTTAATTATCAAATTGAGAAAGGAAAGAAACTGCGGCAAGCTGAGTTTGATCAGTGGATAATGATGTAAAGGTGTATCTTCACGTACAAGAACCAAAAAACTGCATTATCACTGATAAAACTAATCAAAGAAATTCTCAAGATAATGATTGTTTCTTTAGAATAAATACTCACCCAAGTAATTATGTGCAAGAAGTCCATAAAATTAATTACAATAAACATGCTGCCTGGGACAGTAACTAGGTTTACCAACAGCAGTGTCTTTTCAAGACTACTTAAAAGGAAACCTGAAAGGAAGTTTATCATCACATTATGATTTTAGAAAAGCATGCTTATATTTTTGCAAAAACTTACTCAGTTGTTGTTATATCTCTAAGGACCCTAAAAGAAAATCTTCCAATGGAAAAATATACTCATTAATTTGTATCATCATTTTCTTTCCCAAAGACAGCTGACACACAGCTAACAGCTCACACCCTAGATGTGACATCCATTTCAAGAGTTAGAAATTAATCTGACTGCCTCTAAATGAAACTTAAGACAACAGTCAAGGTACTTTCTTTATTCAAATATAAATATTTGTTAATTTTGATGAAATGGAAGTTCTCTGCAGAAGAAAATCAGACATATCAAGTTGATGAAGAAGGTTTTCATGTAAAGAACAAACTATTTCTTTGAAGTACAACAAGTGTAACAAAGGTTGCTATTAATCACTTACGTTCAGGAGGTCTTTCCTCCCCAGCCTTATGTACTACATCATGATAAATGAAAGAAGAGCGACTTGGAGGATAGAAAATTTGAAGAAAAAGGAACCTAAAAAATCAATTAAAGTGTTGATAATATGTCATACTGAATCAACTTAGCATTCATTAAATATCACATAATTTTCTCCAAATGAACAATTAATTAACTGATATTTTTCAGTGGATATACAGTGTAAGATGAAATACCTGGTCAGACATGACTTAATGAGCAAAGTAACTCATTATGTTTATTTCCACGTCAGCACAAAAGAACTCAGTTCATTGTCAAGGTATTAATGTATTATGTCTCAATACTGGAGAAAATAGAGGACTCAATTTACTCACCCAAATATAATACAAAAGAATGGTGCAACAGACCAGCTGAACACATTTCCTGATACTGCCGTCAGTGTCAACTGGCCAACTATTGGATAGCTAATGTATATTACATACTCCATGTTCTACAGAGAGAAAATAAAACATTTTACAACAATTAAAGTTCTTGAAATCATGTAAACAGGATATCTCAGTAAGAGAAAGAACAAGGAACATTGAAGAAGATTAAAAGGATTGCATTTTAGTGAGCTTTCACCATGTTCGCTTCACTTTGTTATGTGTTATTGGCTTGATTTTTGTGAAATTTTATGTTAGAAGTTCTTTGTTTCTGTTACAAGCATGGAGCAAAGAAATTATCTCTATCCCTGTCCAGGAATCATATTTTTTGACATTGCATTCCGTTTCCCTACTACCAAACAGCAAGAAATCCTAAGGTAAGCCAGGCTCAAATGAGACACATGTCCTGCACATAGATAGGATCAGCAATGAAGAAAGCATCTTATAAATGACTAAATTAAGAAAGATGGTTACTTGTATCACCATTCTTTTATGGATAACTTAGAGTTCAAAATTTACAATCTCTCTTATTCTAATCAAAGAGGTATTCATTTTTATCTAATATGAAACACATCCTTGTTTTGTATGTTTCAGTAATTTGGCAAATACACATAGAGGGCTGTTGCTCTAACTGATTGAACTCAGGGAAAATGCTGTGACCCTTTTATTAAAACAAGGTACAATAAATTTGCACCAATAAATTGAAAAGTTTAGTCACCTTTATAAACTCAGGCTCTTCATACTGTAGTTGCTTAAACTGGAAGAGACCAACACCACCTTCAAAAATAAATTTCATAAAAGAGATTAAAACAGTCATGTTAATTTACATTAAAAAAATCCTGGGTTTTGAATATTGCCACATACAACTGCTAATCATCCAGCTTCTTTACCTGACAGCACAATAAATACATTGTAAATAAATATAAGTCCAAGGTTAAATACTGATTTCCTACAGAAGGGAAAAAAAAAATAGATTTCATTATCAGCACACTATAAATATTTATAGTACTGGGTATCAACAAATATCCTGGATCCCAGAGTGGTGCTCTTGTGAGCTAGGAATATAGAAATGATTAAAAAAAAGACTTTTTTATTAATAAAGGAGACTGTATCACCCCTTACTATTCACCTTAAAAAAAGACTACCTGGTACATTGTACTTAACTGCATTTAGCTTGTTCAAAAGTTACTTTTATTTAAGACTACACAATAACTACTCTTCATTTACTCATTATTACAACTACCTTTTGAAAATAATCTCTCTGTTTAAACTTACCATAGAAAGGGAACAAGGCAAAATATTGAAGATAATTGGAAAAGCAGGACTGAAACGACATATGCCACCAAAGACCTATAGGAAATGAGATATGGCGTTAAGTTAATACGTACTATTGCAGACATGAGCGATCCAGATACTCTATGTCAAATGGATTTAATTTCTAGTTGGTCATCAAATGCAGTAATTATTCATAAAATACATAAGCTTAACAATATCTTAACCAGAACTAATCAACCAGCCAGCATGCACACTTCAACAGGAATAAATTCTCACAAAAATTATCAAACTTGAACCACCTTTTTCTACATCTTGAAGTGTTTTCCACAAGATACATCATCAAAATACAGAATACAGCAAAACCAAACAATCTGTTAATATTGAAAAAAATGATGAATACAAACAATTTTGAGATGATAAAATTATTGGTCATGCTACAAGAGATTCTTGACAAACTTGTGTTCACACAGTGATTTGTGTATGTTCAATTTGATTTCATTGCTTTTACATAACTTTTTCACATTTTTGCTGCCAAGTTGACTGTTGGCCAACAGTTGGCCAAAACTTTGGCCTAACACATAATGAAAACTGTCGGCAGACAATTGGCCAACAGTCAGCCAACTGTCAGCCGACTGTTGGCTGACAGTATCTTTCAGGAACTGTTCTTCACTTTTACCCAATCAAGAGCTTCTTTGGTTGGTGGTCATTTCATTTATTCTTGTGACTCTGATTCAATGGTGATATTGTAAGGAGAAATTAAATGCTGCCCACTCTTAGAGGTTGGAAGTAAATTTCTGCACCAGGCTGTCACATTTTTTGCATGCATTACATAGCATTTTTGTATTAGTTTCATTGTTAACATATTGAAAAATAAGAATAACTCCAACATTGTTTAAGATAAGATTAAAATGGGAGGTAGTTTGTCTGTTATATGTTGGCTAATCCAACCCAAATTAAGTGACAATAACAGTAGCTAACTTCTTTCTTGCAAGCAGAAAAATCATTTAGCCATAACTGAAAGCAGTAGCTGAAAACCATAGTTATACATACAGTTCTCCTCCAATGTAAAACAAAGGTACAACACAAGGGATGAAAACACAGGCAAACTTCTTGTTGTGGTGACAAGGTCCTGGGATAAAGGTGGAATCCCCTTGAACATGTTTGTCGTGCAAATGCAACTGAAAACGGTAAAATGCACTACATTTCAATATGTTAGTGGAGGCAAAAAATTATTTGCCAAGTCATAAATAAGTAAATGTTTGAATTTGCTCTTCAGTTTAAGTGATCTTCACTTTATTACTGTTTAAATGAGCTGAGACACTGTCCATACTCTCCTTGGCCAGCAAGTGTGCTATGATGAGAGTAAGCTAATCCTGTAAATATATGCGAATTTTATTTATTGGTTCACTAAGGCATTTATTGATCTTTTGCACTAATTTTATAATAATGGAGGCATACCCTAGTAAAAACGGTGAACGTGCACATAGGGATGCTATCCTTCCAAAAATATGACTTATTTTTTTATTATCTTCCTTAGCTGCAAAACTATTGAGGAGAGATATAATAAACGAAGAACTTGGAACAAGAAACGACTCTTTTTCTTCGTAACCTAGATGGGAATATGTAGGTTTTAACTATGTACTATTTGTATTTGCAGAATTCACCTCACCGTGTCATCTTTTTGTTGTTGTTTATACGCTTCTGTATTTTGATGCACAACATGAATATTTCTAAGTTCTGTCCCGTCCATTCTACTTCATATGTCGCAGATAAATTAACTGTCGTTCCATAACGTAAAGTCCGCCCCTAGTTTCACATTTGGTTCCAAAATGACGAAGAAGTGAAGTATATGTTCATCTCGTTATCTGCCATATTGAAAATGCATGGGTACTGGATCTAGTTTGTTCCAGTCTTTCTCGCTATTGTGGAAGAAAACGAACGTGACGTAGGTGGTGGTAGGGGAAGCGATAATCGCCTGGTACTTCCGCTGCGAATCAAGGATCACGATCACGTTCTACGAGTAGTTTCAAAACTGGAACAACTTCCTCCCATCGTTGATTTTGTTTTCCTTTATATTTACGAGCAATGTCTCTGTTCGGTGAATATCCATGTATCAATCAAACAATTGCTCCAAGTTACATTTCATTTACTTCAGCGGCAATATCAGTTCCGATGTGCTTGTTTACCATCGCTGGCAACCTTCTCGTGGTATTGGCAATTTTCATGGACCCCAACAAAGATCTAAAATCGCCGTTTAATTACTTTGTGGCGAACCTAGCCATCAGCGACCTTGTGGTGGGATTTGTCGTCGACCCGTTATCCTTTGCATATCATCTGAGCGAAGGAGTTTCAAGGAAATATCCAGCCCCATTGGCTTACATCCACATGCCATACTTCATCTCGTGTACGGCGTCTGTTCTCAGTTTAGCGGCTTTGACTGTGGATCGACTCTGGGCGATAACGTCTCCGTTGACTTACCGAACAAAGCTGAACCCTAAGCGAGCAGGCTTTGTGGCGGCTGGTATATGGGCCTTTTCACTAAGCTTCCCGTTTATTTACTTTGTGACGGGCTACCTGACTTACGCATTTGTCTTCGCTCACACTGTCATAATTTTCACTTTCCTGGTCATGTTGACAACGTATTACAAGATTTTTCGCGTATTGAAAAATCAAGTGAAACAGTGGGACTCGATGGATCACACGAACGTGGACAATCAGGCCAAGAGACAGGCGGCAAGATGGGAACAGAAAGTGACAAAGACTTTTATCATTATTTTGGCCCTCTTCTTAGCATGTTATCTACCTTCCTGTATTTCCATCTACATCACGAATCTCTGCAGTGCCTGCAGTTGTACGTTTATTCACTGGGTCAGAGATTTTCACTTCCTTTTGATACTTGCCAACTCAGGGGTGAACCCCTTTATTTACGCCTGGCGATTTGACAATTTCAGAAAAGCGTTTCAAAAGCTTCTGTCCTGTAAAAATTGTTCATGTCATCGTCAAGGAAGAGCTGTAGAATTAAACACCCTCCCGGAGAGTACGACGAGTGACACTACCGCGTAGAAAATTGTAGGCGTGCGAAAGGGTAGCAAAGTTTGAAGCCATAGGGCATCGTTGATGTTTCGAGGTCATGCGAAAAGACAACCGTTGCGTGCCAGCAACGACTTATTCGCTTTAGGGGTATAAGGCACAAAAATACCATTTCACACCTTCGCTGAGAGGTTAAACAATCACTCAAAGGAGAGGTGAGTATACTAAACATGCCAGAGTATACCTGAGGAAGAGGCTCTAGACCAGTAAAGTTGAATTATGCCCAATTTTTCTGAGCCAATAGGTCACGCAATGCTTATCACTCGGCGAGATCAGGAATGTAAGTGCCATTTGATGCGGAAATAAAACTGGTTTGTTAAGTTAATGTTTCTGTAATTATCTTTACCACCAGCTTGTAGACCTACACATAAGCGCAAGTAAGTTCCAAGCATTGTTTTGTAAAACTTCTGGTGTATCTTACAAGTACTGATAACGTTACAAAAAATGCGGATATTAAACAATGAGGAAGAAAAATGAACCGCAAGGGAAATCCAAGGTATGATTACAAGTTGCATCAACAGCTTTATTTAGCCACTGAAAAATTCGCCTCATTCATTTCAAGATGATACTTCAGGAGAGAATTCGCTTTCGCACTGATGAGCCAACAATTACCCTTAGATGGTATTCTAGTTACGGTGTAGAGCTAAAGTATACAGCTGAGATGTAGAGCGTCAAACAAATCTGTAATTTTTTTCGAGGGAGCGCAATGGTGTGGCAGCCCAGGAGTAGCTAGCACAAGCACAAGCCGTCTGCCGCCCCTCGGTAGATGGCCTGATGATATCTTGTGTTATTCTTCTGATGTAAGCCAAACATATTTAAACGAAAATAAATTCAACACCTTGAAAGCTCGAAGGCATTAAATTATCACATCAGAGTGACAAACCTTTATTTGAACAGTTGAACCCCGGAAACTCGAATTGCCTGGGGGATTGAAATTAGCTCGAGTTCTCGGGGTTTCGAGTTCTAAGGGTCTCGAACAAAAAGACAAAAAACACTTAATCAATTCCAGATTTCGCGCCTTGATTTCTCTTTGCGGGAAGAACTGTCAAAACTGTTTGTTTACGGACATACAAACGTGTGATATCGACAAAGGTCAATTTATCATAACATCTAAATGAGATTAAATGTAATCTTCCGGTGCAAAATGTTATGGCTCATTAGTCCGCAAAAATGGACTTTGAGTTATCGAGGGAAAAATTACAAAGAAAAGTACCTGAAGGGAAGTAAAAATTGCTTCAAGTTATCAGGGTTTCGAGTAATTGGGGTTATAATTACAGTAACTATATGAGGCAAATCCAAGGGAAATCAGTTTTGCTTCAAGATAGTGGGGTTCGAATTATCGGGGTTTAACCTATTGTTATGGAAGAGCCTCATTTCCAAAGCTGACAGTTTTCTATTTATAGTCTGAGGCAAACGGTGAAAACAATACTTCTTTCGCGTTGGAAGTGAAGTGTACAGCAGATTCGTAAGCAAAATCTATTCAATCTTAACTTCTCATTCTAACCTAGCGTTGGTAGCGCCGTAAAACTAATCGAGTCATGTCTCTGTTTGGTGAATATCCGTGCACTAATCAATCAGTTGCTCCAATCTACATCTCGTTTACTACGGCCACGATATGTGTTCCGCTGTGTCTATTCACCATCGCCGGAAATTTACTCGTCGTGTTAGCAATCTTCATCGATCCAAACAAAGATCTCAAGTCACCTTTTAACCATTTTGTGGCCAACCTTGCCATTAGCGATCTATTGGTGGGATTCGTCGTTGACCCGACTGCGGTGGTGTACCATGTAAAGGAAGGAGTTGAGAGGAAACTGCCACCTTTACCCTACATTCACATGCCGTACTTCATTTCGTGTACAGCTTCTGTTCTCAGTTTGGCAGCTTTAACATTGGATCGATATTTGGCGATAACTTCTCCGCTAACCTACAGAACAAAATTGAATCCTAAGCGAGCAGGTTTTGTGGCGGCTGGCATCTGGTTATTCTCACTAAGTTTCCCATTCATATACCTTGTTACAGGCTACCTTACATATTCATTTGTCTTTCTCCACACAGTCGTAATTGGCACTCTCTTAGTCATCCTTCTAACATATCTGAAGATATTTCGAGTGTTCAAAGATCAAGTGAGACAGTGGGATTCTTTGGATCAAACGAACGTGGACAATCAGGCGAGGAGACAGGCGGCAAGAAGGGAACAGAAAGTGACGAAGACCTTTATTATTATGCTGACCCTCTTCTTAGCATGCTATCTGCCTTCCTGTATCTGCATTTACATTATTAATTTATGCACAGTCTGCAGTTGCACACTTATTCACTGGGCAAGAGATATTCCTTTCCTTCTGATCTTAGCCAATTCAGGAGTGAACCCGTTTCTGTATGCCTGGCGGTTTGAAAATTTCAGGAAAGCGTTCATGAAGCTTTTGAGGAACAGAAAGTGTTGTCGACAACGAAGCCAAAGAACCTTAAGATTTGACAACGTCGCCATGGAGACAATGGACAACTGAGTTAAAGCAGTGACTAGTAAAAGGCTACAAATGGAGAACAAAAAGTAACCAAGGCTGCTATCGCAGTATAGGCTTTGTTCTTACTGTATCTCGGGTTGTAAGTTTATACCGGCAGTCAGTCAGAGATTTTCATTTTACTTTGATCCTCGCCATTTCAGGAGTGAACGCGTTTGTTCGTGCTCAGGCTCCGAAAAGCGTTTTTAAAATCTTCTGACGTGGAGAGAGTGTTTAGAATTAGAATTTGACATCTTCAGAGGGAATACCGCACGTTATTAAAAGGAGCAAACTGTAAACATGTTAAATACGGCGAACTTTAAAAATCTTTTAAGATACTATTTCTTTATTAAGATTCTCTTATCCTTGGTTTGGGAAATCCCAAAACATCGAACTCATGAAGAGCTCAAGTGAAAAGTGCCGAGCGAATTCAATTTGTATACATATATCTTAAAAATTATTCGCGCCAATACACAGTAATTTCTAGAAGAGGGATTAAGATTTTCAACAATGTATGTTATCGCGACCCTCGCGATTTGTCTCACTTCGCCAGTTATAGTTTAGACTCCATGAGTCATACTCCTTTCAAGACTTTCTTCCCCTGTATGAGATGGAGGGTCTTTGAGGATTTATTTAAGTAAAGGAAGATTTTCTACGAATTACCACTTGACCGCCAATATTTCCTTTAGATTAGGTCTGATTGGTGATATTGCGTGACAAAGGGTAGAAGTTTCGTTTGAGCGGTTTGACTCTGTTTATAAATTCACTTCTGAAAAACTTCACTTCTGAAAAACTTCACTTCTGACTCTAAATATACTCAACTACATCCACCAATCACGACATTGATTACAACAACCATGGCAACAACTTACTCAACATACCAGCGGGTTTTCCAAAAGGGAAGAATTTTCTTACAGTCGAACATGTTTAAGTTAGTACTACAAACCAGGGTATTTCACCACCACACCATGTATGAGTGTCGGGTTACTTCGCCATTCAAAAAGGGAGTGTCAGTTAAGTACCCTATGCGAGATGTGAATGTTAGTATGATCCACACAAGGAACTCACTACTACAACAGATGATAAATTTAGTTCGTGCTTGTGAACTGTTATCCTAACTATAGCGATTTAGGGTCTATGCATCTCTTCAAAGTGAAGAAAATTGCCGGTTGCCACTCTCATTCCAACTTCCCATCTTCCTCGAGGAGAAGTGGACATTTTCTGGAATCACACAAATTAGAAACAACTTTCCTCATTCAATTCAAATCTTTTTTTTCGGTTCATTAACCATAAGTTGCCACGTACTTGATTAACTTTTTGAGGCGCAACAAATGTCATTATTGAACCAAGATTTACTGAATAACACTAATAGCCGATTAAATTTGCCCTCTAACGTTTGTTAGCGGAAGACAGCCCATTGTCCAAATTTGGTTTACTGAATCAACCCGCGAAAGAAGTAACACTTTCTCAAAATATTATTTTCTCTAATTCACCTTCTTGCCCTCTCATCATGGATACGGCAATCTCAGTTGTGTTTCTGTTACTTCTTGAGATGTGAAATGCAAAGACTTTGTTCTTGCCGAGAAAGATGGAATTGCCAATGTAGCTTTTTTAGTTTCTAATATATCCTGGACTGGGAAACCCCTTTTTAGACAAGCGACAGAAATCCACTACGCTTTGGTATTTCTTTGTCCGATATACTTTCCTTAAATGTGGAACAAAATATTTTAAGAAGGTATACGACTTGTACGCACAGTAAATTTCTTTGTTTAAAACCTTGGAGTTAGGCCTCTGGACTTTGATCTCAGTGCAGTCTAGGATTACCCTTGTTTTAGGGTATTTGATTTCGAAGCAGAGGCATACTACTTTCAGTCTGGGCAGTTGTGGGCCAAATTGGCACTAGGCGAAGCATTTTACGTATGTCTAATCACAAATAAAAACAATTTCTTCTTTAGAATTGTTTCTTGATCACAAATAAAAACAATTTGTTATGAAGTCATAAAGTCATAAAAGACATTAAGTGACATGGAAAAATTACAGCCACTGCTTCGCCTTCGCTGATAGTTTTCTTTACCTCTGCCACGTTTTATTTCGCTTCTCGTTACAACAATAGTTAATATAGCAAAGATTGTGGGCAATGCTTTCTTGTAATCTTCAATCAAAACACTGTAACGCAACACAACCCAAAGCACGTCCAGCCTCGATTTGGTGCCCAATGCGATCCAAGATGGCGCTGAAGTAAACGTCCTGTTTTTAATAATTAGACTGTAACAGGAAGTGAATAGTTTCGGGTAGAAAGAGAGGTATACAGTAAATTTGAGCAACCAAATCTGCTCAGTCACGAGTCATGTCTCTGTTTGGTGAATATCCGTGCACAAATCAATCAGTTGCTCCAAGCTACATCGCGTTCACAACGGCCGCGGTAACTGTTCCCTTGTGCCTGTTTACGGTCCCTGGAAATTTACTCGTCGTGTTAGCAATCTTCGTCGATCCAAACAAAGATCTAAAATCGCCTTTCAACTACTTTGTGGCCAGCCTTGCCATTAGCGATCTTTTGATGGGATTCTTCGTCGACCCGACTTCGGTAGTGTATCATGTTATGGAAGGAACTGCGAGAAAAAGACCACCAGCATCCTACCTTCACGTGCCGTTATTCATTTCGTGTACAGCTTCTGTTCTCAGTTTGGCAGCTTTAACACTGGATCGATATTTGGCGATAACGTCTCCGCTAACCTACAGAACAAAATTGAATCCTAAGCGAGCGGGTTTTGTGGCGGCTGGCATCTGGGTATTCTCATTAAGTTTCCCTTTCATATACCTTGTTACAGGCTACCTTACATATTCATTTGTCTTTCTCCACACAGTCGTAATTGGCACTCTCTTAGTCATCCTTCTAACGTATCTGAGAATATTTCGTGTGATCAGAGATCAAGTGAAACAATGGGATTCTTTGGATCAGACAAACGTGGAAAACCAGGCAAAGAGACAGGCGGCAAGATGGGAACAGAAAGTGACCAAGACCTTTATTATTATACTGACTCTCTTCTTAGCATGCTATCTTCCTGCCTGTATCTGCATTTACATTGTTAACTTATGCAAAGCGTGCAGTTGCACTCTTATACACTGGGCAAGAGATATTCCTGCTCTTTTGATCACGGCTAATTCAGGAGTGAACCCTTTTGTGTATGCCTGGCGGTTTGAAAATTTCAGGAAAGCGTTCGCAAAACTTTTGAGGAACAGAAAGTGCTGTAGAAAACAAAGACAAAGAACTTTAACATTTGACAACATAGCCATGCAGGGAACAGAAAGTAACTAAGGCTGCTACCACAATATTGGCTCTATTTTTTCTGTATCTCCAGTTATACCTCTATTCACTTTAGTGGGTCAGAGATTTTAATTTTATTTTGATCCTCGCCATTTCAGGAGCGAATCTGTTTGTTCGTGCTCAAGTTCCGCAAGGCGTTTTTAAAATTATGAGACGTACAGAAAGTGTTATGGTTATTTGAGGGAAAGAACATTAGAATTTGACACCCTTAAAGGGAATACTTCAAGTTATTTAGAGTAGCAAAGTGTAAACCTGCCTAAAAATACGGCGAAGTTTGAGGATACAATTTTTTTTTATCAAGAACGTCTTCTTCTTTGGCTAGGGAATCCCGAGCC